TACATTTTCCCTTTTTAACTTTATGTATTTTAAAGACCTATTATACATGAAATTCTTAGATGCGATACCTTGATTATCTTGCTCCAAAAAGCCCAGTGAAAAGAACTACAAGTGCAAATAGAGAAAGATCAAGGAATCCTCTTTTTCTGAAAGTTTTTGATGAGAAAAAGCATCAGTCGGTAAAGTTTTCATCACCCTTCTGTGTAAATAGGCTGTGTAATAGGCAAGAAGAAAAAGGCAGATGAGAACATAGCAAGCACATGTCTTAAGTAATATCACACCTTGCCAACAGCATCATTTATATTTTTCTTTAAAAGCAAAAGCACAACTAAACGAATATTCACCCTTTTAACAACAAAGAGAAAATGGTGTGCATTTTATACTTCTTTTAGATAGCAAATCTCAGGGGCTCTTGTAATATTATTCTTTGCTTTCTCGAAAGGCCTGTTACTTAGATGATCTGCAAATATGACAATATGTTAAAAACGAACATTTTATGTATCTTTGGACTTTATAGGTAGATTAAAAAATCATTTAAAAACAAGCAATTGCTAAAGCATCCCACTACTTCAAACATCAGATTTACTGCTTGACACATTGGTTGTGTCATTCTGCATTGTGAAAGGCTGATGGTGAAGCAGCAAACAGGATACAAATTTTTCAAATATCTACCACATTGCCTTGATAATATCATGTCTTGTTGGGGCATTGCATATCTAACATAACAAAGTGATCTGATATGAATTGGCATGACGTTTTGCTGGTAGACACTACTGTCAAAGATGTGAAATGATAGTTTGGATAATATATCAAGATGCAAAGTTAATTAGGCCACATTCAGTGGGGCTTTGCCTTGGAAGAAAACAATCTATCCCTTATACCTACAGCCTCTCTAATAGGATACTTGAAGAATGGTAAAAGTGCAATACTTATACCTACTGAAGACTCATGGGAGATTTAGTTTTTAAAGAAAATTCTAACAACACTACTTTATTTTCCTCCCTTCAATTTGATCATGACTTCAGCCAATGATAGTGAAGTCTCTTGTAGGGGGAAAAGGTGTAGAAAATGGAGATTCTCCTAATAATAATTAAGGTGAAATTTGATGTTAAAAAATAGAGCAGTAGAGAAGAGCCAGGATTCTCGGACACTGTGTGATGTGGAGTATTACACTACTTAAAGAGGGATACTTGATGAGGATTGCATAGATTTGAACACAACCTGACAAAACTCAACCTTGGGGTTGCCAGAAAAAAAGTCATTGGCTGCTCAAAAAAATGAAGCAGATGTCAGATGCAAGCAGCTGTGGCCTAGGAAATTCAACAAAATTCCAATATTCAAATTGCTTCTCTGGATAAAAACTGCTTGATAGCACAATTTCAGATTTGATCTGGACTGCCAGTGAACCATCTGTGTAAAATGAAAGTAATCTGCTGACACTGTCCATACAGGTAGGCGTCAGCGTCATTTGGTTGAAAAAGGAACACTGCTAAGTTATTTTCTGGAGTCAGGAAAGTTTTACAGTATAGTAATTAGCCCCAGTTGCTAGCATATTGAACACCAGAATAAAGAGTAATAAAAAGAGCTTTGCCTCATTGTTTAAGGATGATTTGAAGAAAGGAAAAGAAGAAAGAGGAAAAAACATCTTTCACTAATTTCAGATTCATAGTGAAATATTCAGTGTAGGAATTGAGATTGGGTGAAAATATTGGAAAAATTACATTCTCAGCACCACAAAAGAGGATGATAAATTTGTTAAATCAGACCTTAACAGTAGGTTAACAAGCAAATGGTTAGGCAAATTGTGAGCTTTAAAAATTCAGTATCACAGGCAAAGAAATAATTCCCTGAAGGGTCAGAGGAAACACTTTTTATTTTATCCAGCTATGTGTTGGGGAAAGTAAATATATGTAGATGCTGAAAGGTTGCACACAAATAGGTCAGCTTGTGGCGGAAGTCTTTCATAATTCAAGATACATCAGCCTTGGCAGTAGCTGAGAATAAGAGCGAGTAATCAAAAGTGACCCAAACAATGACACCAGAGTTTCCAGATGGTATAGAAAAAAGTCTATAATTTATGATTGCCGGTGCAGTAAATAAATCTAAAACAATAGGCGTGGATGGGGAAGCAGTCACAGCTGACCAAAAGAGCAGTTGTAATGCAACCCACAGAAAGCTTGGTGCCAGAAGTAATTGACATAGTCGTCAAATCAATTTCCTAGGGTGCAGACACTCAAGCACTCAATCTGATTCTGTATGCTGCACAACATTTGGATTATACAGCTGCCTCTAATTCAGATAGCCTTAGCTCAATGTGAATCCAATTCAAGGAACTGTCTGGAAGTGAACGGTAATTATTTAGGCTTCCTTTCTGCAGGTTTACTGTTTTCTAGTTAAATTACCCTCCTTTGGAATTACATACATTTCACATTAATTATTTAACATTTAGCTGATTTTTTTTCTCTCCTTGTGTCTTCTACCTCAACAATATCCATAGAACCCATCATCTTTCTTCACAGGCCATCAGTGAGATACTATTTCAGGACAAGAAAGGCACCATATGATGTTCTTCACATTGACTGTGGAATCAGCCACTTGATTGCAAATGTATCATACCCATGTGGAGTAGGATCAATTAATTAATTAATTATTTTTCTGTGTTTTAATTCAAGGCAAGTATTCAAAGATAAATTAAATAATCTACTGCAAATAATTTTACTGGCATTCATTCATTTATTTATCCCATGTTAACAGAGTGTCTGCAGCCTACCAGATGCTTGATTAGATCTTTTGATATATGGAGAGAAGGGACAAAACTTCTGCCTTTAAAGACCTCACAGCTTAGTGAGCGGAGAAGGCAGGTAAAGAATCATGTGAGAAGTAGGGAGAAGGTACAAAGGTCAGCAGAAGGCACAGAGAAAGTCCCTAACCCAGCTGTGGTTGACGTGTGATTGGGAGAGCAGGAAGGCACAGATTTTATAGATTCCAATATCACTGTTGAGAATTAAAAGATGAGACAAACTTTGCCAGGCTGAGAGAGGATTGTTGATATTCCAGGAAGGCCCAACACTAAAAAGTACGTGGAATTTTCAAATAATCATATACTCTTCAGCACAGCTGGAACATAGGGATTAGCAGAGAAGAAAGTATAATGTTGAGGGGGTAAAAGGAATAGTTATGGATTCGATACAAAGGACAAGGACTGGGACGTACTTTGGAGTTTACAGGGCACTTTCCCTCACTATGTTTGGATTGATGCTCACAGAAGCTTGTAAAAACATGATTGTCCCTATTCAAAAATAAACAAGGATCAAGACTGAGAGAGGTTGAGTCATTTACCCAAAGTCACAAAGCTGGGAATTAGGCCTGAATCTGTCTATTTTAAAGACCGCTGTGGGGGCCGGGCGCGGTGGCTCACTCGTGTAATCCCAGCACTTTGGGAGGCCGAAACGGGCGGATCACAACATCAGGAGATGGAGACCATCCTGGCTAACACGGTGAAACCCCGTCTCTTCTAAAAATACACAACATTAGCCGGGCGTGGTGGCGGGCGCCTGTAGTCCCAGCTACTCGGGAGGCTGAGGCAGGAGAATGGCGTGAACCCGGGAGGTGGAGCCTGCTTTGAGCCGAGATTGCGCCACTGAACTCCAGCCTGGGCGACAGAGTGAGACTCTGTCTCAAAAATAAATAAATAAATAAATAAATAAATAAATAAATAAATAAATAAAAATAAAAGACTGCAGTGGGAATATAGCATTTACTGGCTTCTCAGTCAAGGAGTTTCTATGGTACTGGCTCAGTCACTCATTACTAGTTTCAAACTTTTAGAAGGCAGAAAGGTAGAATGATGGATCTGATAGCAGTATACAAAACGGAGAAGGTGAAGGAGAAAGAGTATGTGAAATAGAAAGTAGAAGAGGAAGAAGGGGAAAATAATGTATATTAATTTCTAAACACTATAAAGCCAGTACCTTCTCAGGCATTTGGAAAGAAAGGAATTCCACAGGGTCTACAGTCAAGAAAATTTCTATTGCTGCAAAAGATGTTTATGAGAGTAGATTCAAAGATGATAAATCCCATCGTTAATGAGTTATTTGTCTGCTATTAACTTAACATTCTATCTTTTGAAACAGGGAAGGCTGAAGGGTCAGGGAAATGAGACAGCAAGTTGATTATGACTGTAAACTGCCTCTGCCATCATCAAGTGCAGAAATAGAAACCAAAAACGAGGATATCCACAAAAGCTAGTGTTATCAAGGGAGCAGTGAAAACACAAAACTAATAGAAGTTAGAAAAACAACAACAACAACAACAACAAAAAACACTGAGAAGCTAGAGAAAAAGAAATTAAAGAAATAGCATAACTCACAGAACAAAAGGATCTAAATAGATGAAAGGAAACAGTTAAACTGAGAAGAAATTTAAAATGAAAATAAAATAAAGTATTAAATGCAAATCATTTTTAATAAAATGTGTGTATACTTATAAAATAATACTGCCAATTGTAGAAAATAGAGAATAAAAAATAGTAGAAAAGAGAGAAAAATACTGCTATTTCCCTAAACAACCACAATTTGTATTTCGATGTACTTCCTTCCAGTCATTTTTCTTTAGATATTTTTATGTAATTGTAATCATAATATGGAAAATTCTATTCCATTTTTTCTTCTAGCATTTTAGAATAAATATTTGCAATGCTACATAATCAGTGCTTATAAATAATTCTTTCAAGCATAGTTTAATGTCATTGGAAAATAGCTTACTGTTACATATCTTTGAAAATAAATAGTGTATATTTTCCAAAGTATAAGATTATCTGTTTGTTGTATTTAAAGATTTTTATAAACAAAAAAAATCTACTCTTAAAGTTAAGAGATATTTAAACATGAATATATTAGAAAGTTTAATTGATAAATGATATAAACACAAATTGTGTGCATAGGTATTTTCTCCTTTGTCCAGTAATTTAAAAAAAAAGGAAATCTATTTTTTTACTTTACTTGAATTTTATGAAGTCAATTTAGATGTAGGTTGGAATCCATGGTCCATGTTATCCATGTACATGATTTATGGTTGACATCAAGCTACCTACTAGGGAAAAAAGATACGCTGTGGGAGAAGGCAAGGATTTCACTTTATTAATACAAAAATGTAAGACCATACAAGTGGATAGAGTTAAAAACACTTCACTCTTCTTTCCAGTTAAACATCTGGGGTCACCATAGCCCTTTGGTATATCTCAGTAGCTATCAGATTCATATATTCTGACAGCCTTGTTGCATACAAATTTCCTACTTTTGATAGATGCACTTATCAAATTCATTTTGTCTAGTTCTGAAACAAGTTAAATTTATTACAATTACTGTTTAATAAATGTTGCCAAAATTAACTAAATATTACCTTTCAATCTCTATATTAGTTAAATTATTATTTTGAATTATGTTTTACTACAATATATCAGTCTTCTTTATCTAGCATAAATAAAGCAACATATCAGAAGAAAAGAATGGCATCACCAACATTTTTAAACAGTGAAGATGAGATGATCTTCTGAATTCCCCAAAAGAGAAAAGTTATTGGTGAAATAGTAATTCCTTCACAGTGTTTTCATGAAAATACATTATAAAGAGTAAACCTGTTCAAATTACAGTGGTATGCATTTGGAGAAACAATTAGTAGAAAGAAATATGGAACTGTTTGATCTATTTGTATTACTAGATTCAAAGTTTCAGATGAAAAGATTTACTTGGAAAAAAAAAAAAAAAGATGCCTTTAAAATGTGCCTGCTTCTAAATGGAAATCTATTGACACAAAATAGTCACTACATCAATTCATGTAACAAAGTTTGTTCCTGTTACATGTCATCTTCTGAGTAAACAGAAGTGAACAAAATAAACATAGCTTCTTCCCTTTTGATTAGAACATGTTTTCAAATTTTTTTTCAATTTTTTTGCAAAAATGACAAAAATAGTAAAATTCATTATTCCATATACTACTAAGAAAGCGCATAAGCTACACTTTTTGGACACAGGTATATGTGTAACAACTTGTTTGTGTTGGTTGTAAAAAGTGGAGAACTACTGATATTTAGAGTTTCAGGTGAGGATAAGATAATAATGACTAACAAGAACCCTATAAGTGATAACATTCTGACCTCTCATAGTACATGTTTAATTGCCTTAGCAGTATGTTTTGATATTTTAAAGCACTGGGAAACCTTTGAAGAAAATATTTCTCTTTGATCCATAGCATTTCCTGCAATATTTGGTAGCTACATTTAGGATTCATCTTTCTGAATTTCAATGTATTTATTCAATCCGAACAACACATTTTTAAACTAATGTGCACATAAAATAGATGTTTGAAAACATCATTTTATTAATTTCAATTCTTATTACCTATTTCTTTCAAATGAATATCTTAAATTCTAAAGCCGTAGGAGCCATGAAACATCTTTGATGTAAATAAGATTAAGCTAATAATCGACTTCAGAATTTTCAGCACTAAACATGAAAGCAAAATGAATCAGTGTTAATGATGGAGATTCTAGACCTAACGACCCTAAGGTATCAAGACTTTTTTCTTTTAGTCAAGAAATGTATCAATTATATGTATTTTTTTTCGTGTGTGTGTGTGTGTGTGTGTGCATGTGTGTGTGTGCATGTGTATTTTTAAGGAAACCACTCTAGGTAGCTTTTCATGAGTCATGCTGAGAAACAATTTCTTGTAACTTTTTTCTGTCCAATTGACATTACACATTTATTTATGTGAGGTAGATGACTAGCCTCTAACCCCCACTGTCAGTTTCTGGTTTCAGAGAGCATTGCTCACCATGGAGTAGTTACTAAACACTTTTATTGATGCAGCCACCAGGTCTAATTGCTGAACCAGTTCATTATCCTCCTGTTGCTAATAGAGTGTGCTACAAAATAAGGATGTGAGAAATTTGTTGATTCATCTCTCTCACTCCCTATGCTTAGGGTGGGGTACCTCACGATGTCACTATCATTCGGTAATTTGATTTCATAAAAGTAGCATTGATTTCAATTTTACTATTGTTCAAATGTACAATTCAAGAAAAGAATAACATTTGTCTTTTCTATGTGATAGCATAGATATGTCAGTCAGTACTTTAAAAACACATACATTTATCTACCATGATCATGAAATTAACACATTACCTAGAAGAAAATGTATTTCGTATAATAACCCAGGTGATTTATTAGCAAACATATTAATATAATGTGTGTGAAACTTAATTTCTTTGAAATGAGAAGCCTAACATATGTTCCCCTACTGTTTGAGGAACCAGAGGTGACACAATGAGTCTAGAAGAAACCAAGTGTTCAGCTAAAATGTCAATTACAGCAGAAAAAATGAAAACTGTCAAAGATTTATGGCTTTATCTCACATATTTTTGCTGAGTATCTGCCCACAAAGAAGATGTTGCAGGAACTATGCAAGCTGTTAAGGTAACTGTGGAGAAGACGGCAGTGACAAAAGTGAAATGAGGAAGACTTTGCTTATTTAGAAGGAGAGTTCACCTTGTTTGTTCATAGATATGGTGCTTCCCTCTGAAACAGAGCGCAGTTATCTTTCCTGCATAGTATGGTAAGAATAATGCGTTCCTCTGGGGCAAGTGTTGGGAAAGTTTGTTTGATGAAAGATTTGGGTTTCCTAGTTCAGGATTCCTTAGCTGTGATGTAAACCCACTGTATGTGCAATATCTGTCTGTCACCCTGAAGGGGGACAAGAGGGGTCAAACATGAAGCTCATGCTGCTGCTGCGTGTTGAGTAACAACGTCCTAGTGATAGTGACAGGAGGCAGCCAAATGCCTAGGCAGATAAGAGAGGGTCCCGGTGAAACTCTACCTCCAGGCCAAAGATATTTTAAAGCCAAGCTATGAGTTAAATCCTCAGACTGGATTGAGAACTTGTCTTCCTGTTTGACGCACTCTCCTCTGATTGATCCCCACCCTTTACATATTTTACCTATACCTACCTTTTCCTAATTGGTTTTCTACACTGTCGTGCCCACCCCTGACTAGTGTCTTCGCTTTAACCTTTTTGTACATTCACAAACCAGTCAGCACACATTCCCCATTTTGAGTCCATAAAAGGCCCCCGACCCAGCTACCTGAGAGCCTTCCCCGTCTTCAGGTGGGGGACCACCCTGTTGCATTCCCTCTCTGCTGAGAGCTGTTCCATTGCTCAGTAAAATCTTCTTCACCCTCCTCACTCTTCAATGTCCAGCATATCCTCATTCTTCTTGGGCATAGTACAAGAGCTCAGGAACCACTGAACATGGGTACAAGCCATAACACAGGTAAGCTGGGGGATGCTAGTGTGCCCAAGTGAGGCCTAGACCGGGGGTCGCCAGCTGGGGGTCCCTGGCTTGCCAAGCGACTGAGAAGAAAAATCCTGCCTCACTAGGAAGCATAAAAGCAGCAGACTAACTGGTTAGGTGTAGCTAGGATAAAATCTCAGACCCTTCACTGTCTTGACACTTCATGTGGAATTTTTGGGGGCAGGGTTTGGGGCTTATGTAAGTATAACTGTCCATTATCCAAAATGAAACAGTTTACTTATATTTTCCTAGTATTTTGTATTTGGCTCCTTACCCTACCTTTTCATTCTCTTTCTCTTGTGTACTTTACTGTTTTCATATCTGATGGATAGCACGTTCTGTCCCACCACTCTCTAAGCTCATTGAGGTCTTTGCTGAGAGCTTTTACTTGATGAATCTATGTTCCCACCATGTGTTTTCTGCCTGTGCTCTCATGACACCAGTTGTGAAGAACTCCATTGGGTTACCACAGTTTCCCCTCATGAATCAGCAGATTATGGCTTCATGCTCTCTAAACAGGCTCTGCTGGGCTTCCATCAAGGGCCCAAGTGGTCCAGACAGGAAGAAGAACTATCTTTGGGTTGGATTTCAAGTGTTCAAATGGGGAATATAAGGAGGGCCATTTGCCTTTCACAGTGTTAGAGCTATTTTCTTTTCTTTATATGTAATGACTAAAAAGAACTAAATGTTGCATAGAATATGAATATGTAGAACCAAATATTTGAAGGAAAGGTACTCATGATGAAAAGTACCTGCATCAGTGACTGTAGAAGTCACCCTTTAGGACTTTGTCTGAAGGACATCAGAATGTCACCCAAAGGTGATTCACATAAAGTTATTCATGTAAAAATGTAATTATGTGATGTCCTAAAACTGACTATAAAAGCACAAAACCTAAACTAAATTTCAGCTCAGAAAAAAATACTGGCCTCTTGTTCTTTAGTACTCTACAGCATGCATGGAGGAGTTTCAGACATCATGCATTTCAGTGTGACATGATATTAAATTTAGTCAATATGTGAAATCCCTGCAGAGGAACGATGAAATTTTATTCTGCCAAGTAATGCCTCTGAGCCATGAAAATAAGCACTAGCCATGAGTCTGAATAAAACCAAGGTGGTACTAATCAGAATATTCTATAAGTTTTTTTTTTTTTTTTTTTTTTGGAAATGAAGTCTTATTCTTCTGCCCAGGTTGGAGTGCAATGGTGTGATCTTGGCTCACCGCAACCTCCACCTCCTGTGTTCAAGCAATTCTTGTGCCTCAGCCTCCCCAGTAGCTGGGACTAAAGGCACCTGTATTTGTATTTTTAGTAGAGATGGAGTTTCACCATGTTGGTCAGGCTAGTCTCAAACTCTTGACCTCAAATGGATCCACCTGCCTCAGCCTCCCAGAATACTGGAAATACAGGCATGAGCCTCCATGCCCAGCCCCATAAGTAATTTTATATGTTTAGGTAATTCTTTTAGTTTTTTTCTGGCTTTATTTTCCAGAGGCTCTGCTAGATTTCCCCAGGCAGGCACTGTACATCAGAGCCTTATGGAGTTGATTGTCTCAGGAGGACAAAAAAGAAAGTGGAGAACATAGAAGCTCATAATGTTTCCCTTGAAGTCTAAACTCTGAGCCTAAAGAGGCCTTACTATGAGGTTATTTGGGTAGCTTCTAAATTGACATCCTGTGGGTGAATGTTTGTATGTTGTTATTGCATTTCATTCTGGAGCAAAGCGTC